GTTGATACATTTTCAAAATTGAATGGGCCAAAACCTCAAAGTATTCAAATTGAAAGGCTTAACCAACAAAATAAGACACAATTGGTAGATGACTGGAGTTGTTTAAATATGATGTCCTCGGTTTGGGCTTCACTCTGGCAAATTGGAGTTGGTCAGAAGACCTGTAAATTTATAACTTTTTTTTTCTAATGAGCAGGAGTTGGAAATTATATACTCGATCAGGTTCTTTTTATAAAATATATCTTTTTAACTAAATAATGTAGTTTAAAAAAACCGTTAAAATTAATTTAAAATAATATATGTGTAAAAATTGATTTTTGCCTTTATTCAATGAGAGGGCAAATAAGAGAAAATAATACTAATAATAAGATAAATAATAATGGAATATGAGGAAAAGACAAAGAGAGTGAATAAAAAAATTAATTAGGAGTAAAATAGGGGACAAAACACATGAGGGACCCTAAATCCTCGGGTTCTTAATGTAATCTAAGATCTATTTAGCTAACTTAATTAAATTAAAAAAGTTAGGTAAACTAGTTAATTATAAAAAATATGACATATTTTTTCTAAAATATCATAATTATCTTTCTTAATATCATTCCTCTCTCTCCTCTACTTGATTATAGTTAAGGAAGCATCTATAAGAATAATTTTAAAAAATTGATAAATATGTGTTACATTTAAGACTGAAATCAATTCAATAATTAAGTCACATATTAAGGATCATCGGAGAATTACATAATTTAAAATAAAGATACTCTTTTAATTATGAGTTTTTTTAAAAAAGACTTCTCATTATTGCGGTGAGCACCATAATATTAATCTATATCATAAGCACTAAACACATTCATTGGATTGTGTTTGGGTGTTCATCACCTAAGTAAGAAGTATCAAATTAGATCATCCATATGATATTATTTTTATGTTTTTCAATAATTTAATGTTTTAATGTATATAAAATCTAAAATAAATATTATCTCTTAACAGTTAGGCTTTCTAAAAGTAATTTTTTTATTCAAACGTTGTTAGTTCAAGTTTAAAATTTACTTATCACTTAAAATGTCGTAATGCCGGACAGGCATAGTTGATTAGATTAAATCTTGAATGGGTCGGGCGCTATATCAATATCGGTTCACGTTTAATTAGACGGGATGCAAGGGGTCAATCCCCCCTATTTCCTGCTCTGCTCCCTCTTCTTTTCATTCTGTGCACCCACCATTGCTTCTGTCGCATCCTTTTTTCTTTTAGGATTTACAAAACATTCGATCTTACTTTATCAAGCAAGACAATTACAATCTCTGTTAGTTGTTCACATTCTAAATGTTTAAGAAAATTATTTTCTCATGTTTCTTCAATTCGTGATGGACAATCTCAATTAGCTGATTGTTTTCTAAATGTTGGAGCCACTTCTTTTTTTTTTTTTTGTGTTTCTTCCATATTTTCGTTGTTCATAAAAGCAACTGATATAAAGATTGGAGACTTTGTATCGGAATTATTTTCAATACTCATCGTAATGATGTTAATTAAATCTCAACTGTATAATTGAATATTGGTTCAGTGGTTTTGATACAAAGTCTTTAGTCTTAAAATTGTAATAATTGGATACTTCTCTCACTTCTATAAATATAGAAAAGTCCATCTTATGCTTTAAATTAAAACAAATGTCAAACATTCATGTAGGGAACTGAGTCACATACAACTCATAATGCCACTTGTGAGAATTCCTGATTTGAACTTCTGCTACTTTGCGAGCATCATCAGAAGCAATATCATGTGAAACAGGGTGTGGATGATGCCTATCTGTCAGCTAATCACCCCTTTAGAGATATTGTTCAAGCGTAGAAAAAAAAATACAAACGATGCCTTTATTGCCATTGAAGAAATGCAAATGTCAAATCTCTCTACCTTATACTTCAGCTGCCCCAAGCCACTCAAGACCATTAAAGAGAAGCAAGTTTAAAGAGTGATTTTCCCAATGTAACATTTTGGACTGCTGCCATCTTTGTGTTAGTTAAGGACATGATGACCGGCACTTCTGCTTCCCAACACCAGCATTTGCATAATGAACACCGCTTCCCATCATCGTGGATGTTGTAATACCCGATCATGTCATTAAAACGAGTTAGATTACTTATTAATCCTCCAGTCTTTAATATAAGGGTTACTTTATAATGTAATTTGTACTACAAAGTAAGTCTTATGTTAAGAACAGGAGGGAGTAATATAATATCCTGCTGGTAAAATTGATGGTAGAGGGGCAGCATAAATGCCATTTGAAAAAAATCCCAAATCCAACCTATTTATTCTTTACATTTGTGAATTTAATTATTTTAATGACACTAAGTGTGTCTGCGCCTTTCACATTCCTTTGGAACTAACCATTGCCGTAAGTAGGGAGAATAACATTATAAAGAGTTAGTAAAATTATTAGCATTAAATACTTCAATCTTATATTTTATTGTCCAATTCATACAGGATAAACATTATATTTTCAAAAATAAATATCAAAACATGAATTTTCTTTACAATAGAAGAGGGGAGAATATAATAGAATATCTTTCTCAGCAGTATCAAATATTTGAATAGGGAGAAGATTTCTAGTTCAAATCATTAAAAACTTTAGTAGAACGGTACAGACTTTTTTAGTGTGAGCACTAGAATTAGTTCCACCATTCATTTGAGTTTTAAATTTATAGATCTTTTAAGGAAGTAATAGTAACTTATATTTTCAAAGTTTTGCTAAATTTACATAGATCTTATGTCAAACAACATGCTTCACATGCGAAATCATTTTCTATTGCCAAACATGTGGCTTTGCCTCGCCATTCACTTGGATTTGACATAGTCCAGCAGAATCACGGTGAGTAGCATAGGCTGATTACTGCAGTGGGATTGAAACCACCCAAAAACAATTTCAACGGTCTAAATTTAAAATTTTTTAATTGGTGATTTTTATATAATAAAATTATTTTTTTTCAACAACTGATACTCCTCCGGTCCTTAATATAAGACCCATTTAACTAATTTGATTAGATTAAGAAAGTTAGGTAAGTTAGTTAATTATAAGAAATGTCACACATTTTTCCTAAAACACCATAATCATCTTTTTTAATACCCTCTCTCCCTATTCTATTTGATTATGGTTGAGGGAGTATCCATGGGGGTAATTTAGAGAAAATTGATAAATATGAAAAATGGGTCTTATATTTAGGACCAAAACCAACTCAAGAATTGGGTCCTATATTAAGAACTGGGGGAGTAGTTAAAAAATTATCTTCAGTGCTTTATTCAGTTCGATTTAACCTTTTATAACTATGTATCGTTATTACGTTACAATTAATTAAGAAAACATTGGTTTCAATTTTATATTCAAACCGATCATTAATTTATCATATGTGAGAAAAAATTAGTCAATGAGTTGGGAGAATTTTCAGCGCCATATTTTTCCCTGTTTCTTTTTTTTTGGTAGAATTTACAGCGCCATACTGAATCTTGAAGCTCATTGTTGTTTATCATCATGAACAGGACCAATAATCATTTGCATCGAAAGACCGACTTAGAAACTAATGCAAAGGTTGAGAAAAGCTCATTGGGCTTTGGAGCAACGACAAATATTTGGAAGGCATGAGAGCAATAAGATTTAATTTTTTGAATTGGTATTTTTTTATATAAAATATCCTTTAATTTGTCTGAATATTAACCGTATTTTTACTATTTTACTCTTAATTATTACTCTATCATTATTTTTCACCTCATTCACATCATCATTATTTTTCACCTCATGCATTCTCTTTTATCTTTTTTTTTTAACTCTCACCTAACCACTTGGAAATAAGAATATATTTGAAATAAAAAGTACCGTTCTTAATTTTAATTAATCTTAACATTTTTTTAAACCAGACAATTTGATTATTTGAATCTTATAACGAGGGATGACTGAAGTCCTTTTAGGGAAAAGCTAACCTAAAAGTCCTTATAGTTGATCTCTTTTTTTAATGTGGTCCTTACATTTTAAAAGCTTATAAATCACTCACTATAATAATCACTTTTACACATATTTATCCACCATCCTTCCCGCAGCAATTATCAAGCTGACATTGTTATGGCATGGTGCCCACTTTAATTGTCTGGTTATGTAATTCTGATGAGCAATTATCAAGCTTTAGTATGTGATTATAAGTTAAAACTTTAAAAATGAAATGTATCTGTCTATAAACGTATACGTAGAGAATGGGCAGACACAAATCAATTATAAAACAGGGTTTATGTGTAATTTAATTTATTAACCCTCCTCCTCCTCCTTTCTCACGGCTTACTGCAATGTTAATATTCAAGTTGATATAGAATATACTGCTTCTTGCCTTTAATATAAGATTTAGTTTACTAATTTAAGGAGATTAAAGAGTTGTTAAATTGCTTTAATATATTTATATTTATGGTTTTTTTTCCAAACTAATTTGCTCTATTTATAAACTGATATATAATCTAATGATACATATAAATATTTTAGAGAGATTACGTAATATATGATATAATTAAATAATTTAATAACTTTTTAATCTTTCTAAATTTGTTAATTGAGCCTCGTATTAAAAATCGGAATTAGTATGCCATATGAGAGGTTATTTGCTGCTACCACATTATTCTGTTTAGCCCTGTTTCTTTTCTGCCAACAAAAACAGAGGCAAACAGAGTAACCCTGTACTTTTGCTTGTTTCCAATATACAAAGTCATTATTAAGCCCAAAAACTCTCTCCAAGAAGGCATCACCCAACTCTTCTGAATTCTGAAAGACTGGGGGAGGGAGAAAGGCTGGGGAATTGAAGAGTTTGTTGCTAAACTGCTCATTGAAGGAGAGAGGTTGGGAATTCAAAATCATATGTATTGTCGGATTAGTTTTCCCTAAATTTTATTATGAAACTTCTTTATGCTTCGTGTGAAATGCTTCAAAATAGTGTATGAAGTGATTGATATATTTTCAAATTGGCACTCACTTCCATCTATTCAATCTTCATGTTGATTGCGATTTCGTTGTGCTTCACATGTTCATTCATGCCTGTCACATCTGCCTGTAATTCCTTGAATCTCATTACCTCCGCCATGCTATCAACGAGAGCACCAAAATGTCATGGATCAATCTAAACAGTAGAGTTAATATGATCACTGAATGATATTGTATATTAATATGAGCTCAGCAGATACATATATAATCATTCAGTTACAATTATCAGCACCCAGATAAACGAATAATCAATAGAAAACAACAGAGGGAGATATAGAGAGAGGAAAAACCCCAGAGGGTCCAAAGGGAAGGGAAGCAGAGAATCATGAGATCAGAGAGAAGAGACGTCATACAACTTTTTCACACCCTCCACAATCATTGCTAATCATCATTTATTCTCTCAACTTCCAGGTGAGGCAACGTTCCCTCGCGTTGCAACGCATCTCACCTTTTCCACACGCGATTGCCACATCATTATTTCCTTCTTGGGCCGTAACAATCAAGTCTGAAATAGAGGATCAAGGGAATGCCAAAAGTTTGACATCCACTCCTAATGGCTACACCTTCTTTGTTCTCTGGGATTGTTCAAGTTATCTGAATCAATATCAGCTTCATCTTTGGATTTTTGCCATCCTTCAACAGTAATGCACAATACTTACCACTCAGACTTGCTTATTTCAAACAGTACTAACTTAATATATGATGTGCTAAAACATATAAATGATGTAAGATTTTCAACTTATGACTTTTGCCAAATCAATGGGGAAAAAAAAATTAAAGAAATGAATAAGATCTAGTTTGAACTTTGATGGACTGTTGAAACAAAATTATGTCATACAAGTAAAAGGCAAAAAATAATAAATTTTTTTGAAGATATGAAACAAACCAAATGTGTAGGGCTGCACATGGATAGAAGTGGGTAAGGCATAGCTCTCAACCGATACCCATCCTAAAGAATGAATATAATGGTATCACCTTGCTTGTAAAAAGCCCATGTTATTTCAGGTTGGGTAAAGGGAGGTTAGATAGGATGGGTGTCTCTACCAGAGTAGCAACGTCATATTTATAATATTATTTGTGAAGAAAACTAAAAAAAAAATAACTTGATAAACTCTATTAAAAGCAGAACAATAATTTGAAATCAATGAAATGTCCACAAATTAAAACAACAATGTAAGTTTCGCATAAAATACTAGGCTGTAAATCTCGAGCAATAAATACAATGACAGATAGGTAAATCTCGAGCAATAAATGCAATGACAGATAGGCTATATGATTTCCAACAAAAACACATGCAACTAGTAGAAATAGTATTAATCCGTGATCAACTAAAAGTATCAAGAGAAGTGTGTTGTATTGGCAAAATAGAAGTTACAACAAAATGTAAATAAAAGCAGCATCATCCTCCAAGTAAACTAAGTGCCCATTTGAGCCTTTCATATAAAAATTATCGTAACAGAAAATAAGAATAAAAGACGAAGAGAGAGACAAAGCTGTTGCTTTGAATAATACATCTATCAACTAAAATTGTACTACCTCCGGTTCTTAACATAAGATCTCGTTTGACTTTTATTTTGATTCTAAATATAAAATCCCAATCTATTTTGTCTCTCATATTTATGCAATTTTTTTTCAAGATAGTCCTTCTAATAATTGTAATTTTAACCAACACACTTGATTAGTAAGTATATTTTAGGAAAGACAACACTTATTTATTACAAATAACTAACTTAACTTATTTTTTTAATCTTCTTAAATTAATTAACTAGCTCTTATAATTAGGACCAGAGGTAGCATATATTCTTTAGATAGGATGGCATGCCCAATTCCTGGCCTTGACCAACAATTTAGGTAGCCTGATAATGCCCAATTCTTTTTTGGGTTGATTATTTCAGGCCACTCGGGTTTCAAGAACAACTCTACCTAATATTAGATATTAAACAATATTTATGGAAATGATATAATTAAGGAAATACTCCTCGGATCCTTAATGTATGACCTACTGTGGTTTGTAGCCATGTGCTCTAATCCTCTGAGTTACAAACCCCACCCCATTTCCGCTAGATCTATTTCCTGGGAGTACCCTAAAAAAAAAAAAAGAACATTTCCTCTCCCTAGAAATTTCAGCTTAAGAAGATGTGATGTTGGTTCTACATGTAAAACCTATTTCACATATTTATTTAATTTTCTCAAATTAACCTTATTGATATTTTTTCAACAATAATCAAGTAAGAAAGGGAGAAAAATAATTAAGGAAGATGCCTAGGGTGATTTAGAAAAAGAAATCATATTAACTAATTTAATTAACATCTTTAATTTACTCAAATTAGTTAACTAGGTCTTATATTAATGATTGGAGGAGTATAATATTTAGATGAATTGAAAGATTATATTGAATTAACAAATCAATGAAAAATTCAAATATCCACCCAATCATGCATTAATCTAAAATATACTCTCTTCAGTCCTAAATGTAATAGTCATTTTGTAGTGTGTAATTTATACTATAAAATAAGTCTTATATTTAGGATTGGAAGAGAAGTAACATTTAATCTAAAACAAGAAGGGTTGATCTAAGTACCTTGGAAGTAGACTCAACATCACTGCTATTGTTCATGTCTCTATCAATCATCACGAAATCATTGATGCTACTACTACAACCTTCATCCGTTGTTCTTCGCCAAGCTTCAACATCTTCTTTACACACCACTCGCCACCCACATTTCCTTATATTAAACTTTGGTGACTTATTTTGAATTGCATTCTCACTAAAAAATATCATTTGAAGTCCGTCTACGACCAAAGAGGAACAACGAATAAATAAAATAAGAAGCTGCTGACTACAATGCTCATTAAAATGAGCACCATATGGACAATACATCTCCAGAAATTCATCATTAGGAAATCTGTAAGTCCAGCAAACACCATCCCTCCCTGCTCCAAATGCCAAATCGTGTTCTAACACTAAGCATATGGCTAAGCCCGACCATTCAGGAAAACCACAGTAATCAAGGGGTAAGCTTACTATGAACGACACATTTGGATGACTAAATTCTTTCTCACAAAAATAGTTTTGATTATAAAACCATGACGGCACTTCGCTACCTGGAATTTTTAGCTCGCGAGAACATTCCAAGTAGTAGTCAGTAGGCTGGTCATAGTACAAGTAAAGCCAACTTAAATTTATGGGAGGTTGAAATGATTCGATAAAATCCCATAATTGCTCTGAACATCCGTAATGTTCCATTGATGAACTACCAACTAATGGTTGATAGATTTGAGGGTAGTTGTGGCAAAGATCGAAGCTTGTTGCAAAAACTGAGATTAAGACCTTGAAGCTTGGAAAGATTGGAAATCAGGGCAGATGGTAAGTCAATGAAATTGTTTCCACTTAGATCTAAAACTTCCAATGATGATAACTTGCTGATGTCATCGAGAAGTGATCCATCATGGAGATTGCAATTCATTAAATTTAATTTCCTCAAGAATGACAAAGGCGGTGACAATATAAAATTTGTTGAGCTCAAAGGCCTTTGACAAAGAAAGGAGAAGCAACTCCATGATGATAAAGATTGTGCTTCAGCATTGTATTTAGAAAGTGATAACCCTTTCACAGCAATTTTACTCAAATCAAGCTCTTCCAAAGCCTCATTTTCATTCAAATTCTCGGGCAACTTTGAAAGCTTTGAGCAGCCTGGAATTCTGATAATTTTCAAAGCTTTCAATTTACAAATGTTATATGGAAGACAAACTAGCTTTTTGCAATTTTTCAAATTTAATTCAGTGAGACCAATCAAATTGCCCAATGATTGAGGTAGTTTGGTTACAGCAATCTCCTGTAAATCAAGCTTAGATAAACATTTCATATCTTTTCCAAACTGAGGAAGCTTTCTAATTCTTGTACAACCAGATAGAACAAAAGCTTCTAATTTATTCATCTCAAATTTTCTTGGAAGGATTTTAACTTTTCTTCAACCTTTCAAGTTAACAATGACAAGTTTTTTGTGTTGGCCAAGAGACTGGTGAATTTCAACCAAATTAAAACACCCTTCAAGAATCAATTTTTCAAGATGAGGAATTCCATCAAAATTTGGTGTTTTGATGAGGATTTCTGAATGGGATAGATCAATGGACTTCAGGCTTTGAAGAGACTAGCAAAGAGAGGAAAAGAAAAAAAAGAAACAATAAGCCCTCAAAACCAAAAAGCTAATTATAATTATAATTTATTAAATTATGGACAAACAATTTAAATGAAAGAACCATAATTGCCTGTATTCCTCTCCAAAGTTCTTTTAATTTGCTATGCTGCATTTTTAGTTCAACAAGTTTATGTAATTGAGGTTGACTCGGCAAATAAAGTAATGGATACCTCTCCCATTCTATGATTTTCAACTCACTGGAAAGTGTCTTGAGTCCATAAGGAAGATTCAACTGGCAATGTGAAACATCTGAGTAACTTGAAATTGAAATAATAAGTATCTTGAGATTACTCATCTTTAAGAAGGCTTCAGGATCCCAAAATACATCACATGACTTTTCTAATCTTAACAATATTCCTCAAATTGCTTCTGTCCCCTATAAAACAAGAAGTCAAGGTAAAAATTTATAAACGTTATGCAGTAGATTATTATAAAAGGAGTGCACAAACACAATAATTTTGGAACATCACCTTATTTCTTTCTAGTACATGATTAGCATCCTCTAAAGATAATATCCTAGAACGCTTCCCAGCATCATCAGGTGATTGTTGATAGGCAATAAATTTCCCCATATCTTGTAGAATTTCATGCACCCACAGATACCCTTCATAATCAATTACCAATGATTTCTCAATAAGAACAGTTATTCCAATTCTTGGATGAAGATTCTCATCCAAAGTTTCTAAAATTTGTATGACATGATCTTGGGCCATCCCATTGAAAAAACAAGCGATATCTAAAAATATGGTCTTCTCCTTAATGTCCAATCCATCAAAACTCACTTGAAGTATCTTCAAAATGTCCTTTGGAGGAGCCTTCTTGAACTTAGCCAGTGCATCCTTCCATTCCATTATAGTTCTTTTGCAAAGAAATGAACCTAACACTTTAAGTGCCAAAGGAAGGCCTCCAGCATATTTAATGATAGTTCTAGCAAGGTCCAAATAATCTTCATTAGGTTGCTCTCCTTTAAAAGCTTTTTGAAGGAAAAGTTTAAGTGATTCATTATCATTCAAGAATTTGATGTCATACATAGAAGATACACCATGTGATGATAGCAAATGCTTATCCCTAGTTGTTATTAATATTATGCTTCCCTTGCTGAACCATCCTTGCTTTGGAGCCAAATTTTCAAGTTGGCTAACGTCACTCACATCATCAAGGACGAGTAGAAATTTTTTGTTGCCCAACATGTTTTTTATTAGCTTCATTCCTTCATAAAAATTATCCACTTCCATACTTCTTTTATCTATAGAAAAAAGAAGTCTTCTTTGCAATGACATCAAACCATCTTTTTCATATGCCTCTCTAATATTATGGAGAAAGCAGTGAATCTCGAAGTCTTTAAGCTTTCGCTCATAAAAGGCTCTAGCAAGAGTTGTTTTGCCTAAACCTCCTGTGCCCCATATTCCTATAAACCCATCTCCTTGTGATTTCCTTGCTACAATTGACTCCAATTCACCTAATTTTGATTCAATCCCAATTAACATACGAAGGTCAGATGGTGATTCATCAAGTAAATTTGTCATCATTTCTTTAGCAATGCTTTCAATGAATTTTGTTTCATACCTGCACGTGAAAATTAAATTATGAAATGATTTAACTAGGTGTGTGTCCACACACTTTACTAACTCCAAGATATAAAGTCATTGAATTAACATATTATTGTGTGATTTTCTTTTTCTTTTGGTAATAGTCCCTCTAGACCATAATATAGGATCCTTGTTAAGCTTTTCTATAAATAAAGAACTCTCATACGCTTCCTTTACAAAGGTACAATTGAAAAAAAAAATTGTATATATCTTGCATATTATATTTATTGTTTATCACTAATATTTTGCACTATGCGATTTTGATAGCTGTTTCATATAATAAGGGATGGGGGAGTGGAAAAACTATTTTGCCTTTATTAAAGAATGAGATTTAAAAATTCCCTGCTCTCACTTTGACATTTAAAACTCTCTCTTCTTTGTGACAATGGGTAAAAAATGAAAAACTATTATTAATTACCATATCAACCTCCTATATATATTTTGGATCAAAATTTCACCTAGAAGATTTCTTATATTTTAGATGGTAGTGAGTAAATTTTGGAGTAAAATACCATCCTTCTATTTTTTATCTCAATTATGAAAACCATCACTCTATTTTGAAAATATATATAAACCTCTCTTAAAATTAAAACATATGTTACATGCCTTCCTCCTACATTTGAGATTTTGTGTTCATTTGCCCAAACCATTAGTACTGTTAAATTTAACTTTATATTATTTTTTACCAAAATGCCCCCTTTTAACTTAATAATTATTTAGACATTTATATTTTTCAGAAAATATTTTTTATAAAATCAAAAAATAATTCTAATACATATATTTTTAAAATTTCCAATATATTATTAAATTTATTAATTTCATTCCAAATCAAAAAAAAAATTATAATTTTAATATTTTATCACATTCGTTGGAAATTATTTACTTTGATTTCTTTTAAATCATAAAAACATATTTCAAATGCATAGGTCTTGTTTATCATAAAATTTAAATGATATGAATTTGAAATATTTTATAAATTATTTAAAATTATAATTCAAAACTTTTAAACACATATTTGTTACAAAAATTTATAAACATATTTAGTCAAGTACATATATATTTATTAAAAAATTAGTGAAATTTTTAATTAATTCTTTTACGTTTGTCTTAACTAAATAAAATTCGTATAACTGTAAAAATATAATTTAGTAATTTATTAGAGTGAGCAGTAAAATAGTAAATAAAATTTATTTTAATATAAATTTCAGTTAAAAGTAATATTTTTAGAAACTTTTTAGAATATTCCTAATAGTGTTAACTAATTAGAATAAAATGTATGTTTTTAAAATGGGGGGTCTATGTAATTGATGCAAGCTAGGCAAGTACTCAAAGTATTTTACTCTAAATTTTATATTTGAGCAGTTCTTCATAATTTTATTTAAGCAACTTTTCACAGAATACATTGTCAGATTAAAATTTCAAATCTAGTCCTATACGGTAACGTTTTCAACTATCAAAAGTTAATAACTACTGTTAATTAATTATTAATAAAATGATATTTTTAAAATATCGAAATTATGAATTATTAATATTTATTTTTGAATCTTTGATAGTAACAATCTTTTAAGAATTACTCATATTTTTAATTAAGTTTTCTATATCTATGCTAATTAAATTACTTTATATTTTACCCCAATATGATAAACATATTAAACAAATAATTATTTGTAAGAAAAATAATTAAGGAAAACCAAAAGAAAACGCTAATTCTTCAAAATAATTTTAATCAAAGTCAAGGGTTTAGTATGACAAAGGATAAATTAGTAAATAAATATTATTCTAATACACATTTTAATTAAAATTATCTTTTTAAAATATTGTTAATGGAGTTAAGAATTTAACTTCAAGAACATATTTTAAAATAGACAAGGTATCAATGTAATCAAGGTAAAATGTAAATGAGACTATAGTATATATTTTATCTTAGATAAATGAAAATTATAATTTTATATGTAGACTGCAGTGAAAGTTTCAAGCGGTTCCCCTCTCCCCATTAAAAAATTCAGGGGGAAAAAAAACCCTTGATGTAACAGTAATTTAGAGTTTATTTGAATATCCACACCCTTATTTTTTTTTTAAAAAAAAAGACATGATAATTATTGATAGAATTGGAACTTACTGATTTTTTGAGTCCCAACCAGATGTAGTGGCAACTTTTCCTAAAGCATCCCTCCATCTTTGCACTTTTGTTATGTCTTGAGCAAATCTTTCTTCATGCTTCATGAATGCTTCTGCAAAACTTCCCTTTTGTTTCCTAACATCAGATGGATCTACTCCATAAAATATTGGAAATACCTGAAGACTCAACTCTTCCTTTAAATGAAGAATCATTTGAAGCTCATCCAAACACCAAGTTGAAGAAGCATAACTTGGGGAGAGCACCACAATTGCAGAAAGAGATTCTTCAATTGCTTGTATCAAACTTGGTGTGATAGATTCTCCCCTTTCAAGTTCTTCTTCATCCCTAAAAGTTTTTAATCCTTTACATTTTAAAGCAGTATACAAATGATCAGTAAAACTTGTTCGAGTATCTTCCCCTCGAAAACTCAAGAACACATGATACTTCCATCTCTTAGTTGAAGCAGAAGAACTTGAAGAGCCCCCATCTCCATCAGCATCATGCGCCATTGCAAGGATTTGGAATCTGAACACAAAAGTAAAAGTGAAAAAAACAGAAAGAAAGTGAAGCAATTTTTATAAGATGTATTTTCCCGTCAATTTGAGTTTCAAATTAAAGCAAATTAAAAACTTGAGATAGGTAATGGGTACATTCAAAGGAAGAAAGAAGTACAAGAAAATTTAAAATCTCAAAATGCTCTCGAAGATCTATGTATCCTCAAAGATAATGCATAAATAATCATTTTTATTTATGAATAAAATAAAAAAAATAAACAAAAGGATGAGAGATAAGCACATGATGATTTGATCCAGCACATGACAGCACATGGCTGATTAGTCTCCCGAGTTAACAGATTTACCAAACCAAAACTTTTAGATAACACAAATCTCATTCGCAGATTCAAAAGTTCCTGAAATTTTCAGAGATAGTAACTAGAGATCTAAAAGAATTGGCAAGGAAGAAAATAGATCCCAGGAAGATTGAATTGATAACTCTATGTTTATATTCCTACGGTCTATTTAATTATAGTTCAAAGCAAAAGTTTCGTATTCAAAGAAACCATAAACACAAAGTTAATGCTTGAAGAACTAAATCCATTTCATAGAATAAAAAAAAAAGGAATTAATCCATGAATGTCTTGTAGCATGAATCACGATTCAACCAAAATTACACATAGAAAATCACATAATTAGAAAGGAAGAAAATAGGAACCTGGTGGCTGAAATAAAAGTGAAAGATTTCTTTGATCTGCGTCTCTGCGATCTGATCAGAACAAGATGAAACCCAGTTAGGCACAAATTTGTAGTTCTGACCATGAAGCTTTTGTAGTTTACTCTTTACGCGTTCAAACGGCGTTGCAGCTGTCTTCCACTTTGCATTACAAGTAATGTTTGTCAAAACCAAATTATTAATCGTCAAAGATAGAGAACTTGGAGTAAATTGAAGTAGTAATCCAAATTAAAGTCAAAACTATCCAAGTTCTATAATCAAATATAATTAACTTTCTCAAGCATCATTTGATTGAACAAAACTATCTAAATGCTGGGTAATCACAAATGCATTATAAGCTCAAGGTAAAATCAACATATAGTTATTACCGTTAACACTAAAAAAGGATAAACAAATCTCAGTGCATACAATAGTTTAAAGTAAGCCTATAACAAACTATCTAGCCACTCATGTTCAAAAAATAACTACACCTATCTATAACAAGTTCAACCATCGCAAAAATTCAGCGAAAAAGGAAAGGAAAAGCATATAAAAACAGAAGGAAGAAGCTATAAATCTCTTCAAGCTCCAATCCCAATCTTTCATGTCTTCAAACCTTCATCACAATTGCCCCTCCAATTCAGCTCCAAAGAGTCTCAGGAGTCCGAATGTCAAAAAAGTTGGCTCCCCACAACCTTATCAAACCCTAATTTTTGAACTTCGCTATCTTTGCCATAGTGAACAACATGGAGAGCTTTTTCCTTTTTTCTGTATTTTTTCGCTGCAGAAAAAAGTGACCCAATGAAGGGTCTTTTTAACTCCTGAGTTCTTTGATTCTTTCCAAGATTCATGTATGTCGTGTTCCTTGCTTCCTATGGTCCTTCAGAGCTTCCAAAAATGGTGTTCTCTCTACCTACAAAACACAAAATTCTGTAAAAATTCTCAATTGTCCAAGGTAGATCAATATACTGGCATTTACATGAAGAATTTTTTTTAAAAGAATTTTCTTAAGTTTAGAATGAATGCACATTTTCATTGTATAAAACTAAATTATGTACAATTCAACTCAGAAAGTGTGTTAAAACATGAGAAAATTGTGCCAAAATGATATGAATTTCCTAAAGTTATCATAGTTTAAAATCCAAAATCAATTACATCTTCCCAATTAGCCTTTATATTCACTAGACACTAAATAATACATCGTAAAAACCTAGTCAGCTGACCAGCAGAGAGCTGTCCTGGCCAAAAAAATCCACATATAGAATTTTTCCTGCCTCTTCAAAAATCCAACAATATGGATGCTCTTCATTATTTCACTACTGAGTTCAGACTAATAGCTTCATCAAGAATTTTATACCAGCAAGTACGAGTTAATCCAAGTTATAATTCATGATTTTAAATTTGATTAAATTTGTAATTTTTTATTTTAAAACAAATCTAATGATTTAGCTGTCATTCTTAATTCTGCTATAAGGTGTTTGGAAATACGTTTATAGAAGACCAAAAATAGTATATACCTGGGAAAATGATATGCACTGTCATTCATGCACCAAATTAAACTAAGGTAAGCGCTATGCAAGATAAAACCGTGTTAGTTTAATGCCTAATCCGATAGATCAGGCTAAATATATGACAGCACATGACTGCGCATGACTTAGTCCTCAGAGCTAGTAGTTTGCTCTGAGAAACAATAAACTTTAGACAGAAAATAAATCTCAGATTTAAAGTTCCGGATAATTTCAAAAGTGGCGTTCTTATCAAAATGATGGAAACAATAAAAAAATAACCAAAATGCTACATATTAAAAAGAATTTACACAAATATTATGTTACAAATCATTCACATAAAGAACGAGTTCCACTCTGTGAAGAACTTGTTCACACTCGGACAGCTTTCAACTCTTAACATTTTTTTTTTGGGAAAAAAACAATGAAATCGTTCCTTTTCTTCTTTTTGGGTAAAAAAAAAAAACCAATGAAATCGTTTCTTCCTTTTGTCTTTAGTGAAATTACGATTAGGACCCCAATCAACAACTTCTTCACCACTTTTCTCTCTCCTCTCGCGTTTCGGAGAGAATTACTATTAATGGCCCCACAGACGTGAGCCCTCCTACCATCTTTTGGCACCTTTTCTTCTTTGATCCTTTCTCTTCCCTTACATTAAAGCGATAAATGGTTTGGATGTAATATTTTATAACATTATTATTGAAATATTTTATAAACTAAATTTTCTTGGATTATAGTATAAATTGACCAGAATGAATTTTAATAGTTTAAATTTATTTGTTTAAATTTCTATAATATTGTATCAGATATTGTATCTGAACTATTCATTTTCCATCTAAGGATGGAGAAAGGATTTTGAATATCTACTCATTCCATTTTTTCTATTCCCTATAAATTAATAAGGATATAAGTTGATTTTTCAAAATGAATATTTTTTATCCCCTTAATTAAATTTAGAGGGAAAAGTGAATGGAGTAGATAATGAAGGAATAGAGCTATGGATTTGGATACTCTAACAATCTCTTCTTCACCATTAAATGAAAATAAATGGTTTCGATATAATATTTTATACAATATTATTAAAATGTAAATAAATAAATTTAAACTATTAAGATTTATTTTGTCAATTTATACCTATAGTCCAAAAAAATTAGTTTATAAAATATTTTAATAATAATTTTATAAAATATTACATCCAAACTATCCATTATTTAAATGTAGAGGATTTTGGGGGGGGGGTTGGGAAGGATCGGAGAAGAAAAGGTGAAAGAGGATGCCAAGGGGATTCACATCTACAGGGCCGCAGTCAAAGGGAAAGAGAAAAACGGCCTAGAAGTAGAGCCGGTAATATGGGCCAACCCGCCGATTATGGGTTGGCCCATGGCGGCTTGAAGCTTGGCGGGTTGGGCTTTTTAGGACCGCTTTCTGGCGGGCTTGAATTTTTTCAACCCGACCCGCGAACCCGCGAACCCGCCAAATTTTGTTTTTTGTTTTACTTTTTTTAATAAAACCTACTCAAAGTCCCAAATTCCTAACTATCTAAAATAAAACATGCAAATAGAAATTATCATGAATAAAACATGGAACCTATCCAAAGTTCCAAGTTTCAAGTTTCAAATATATCAAAATATTAAACATATGATTAAATGAACATGATATGTCCTTAATAATTTAACAAACATCTCAAATTAAAACATAAATCCAAATTAATACTACCACAAAGTCACAAACACAATGTCACTACACAAATCACTATCAAGTATCAACTATCAAGTGCTCAATCATCACTCATGAGCTAGCGCAAAGGCGCAAAGCAAAGACAAAGAGCAGAGAGCTTGGGGCTTGGGACTTGGGACTTGGGAGTTAGGACTGGCCGAGGGCGACTGGGAGACTGGGTCTAGGAGAGTTGGGAGTCTGGAAGGAGTGCAACACGCAAGCAAAATGTGAAAATGGGACCGTGTTGGTGTTGCCGTGTTAGACTATTGGACATGGACTGCTTACTATTGCACTGTGGACTAGGCTAAGAGTGTAGAGACTAAGAGGCAAAGGGAAAATTTTGCCAAAAAAAAAATGGTTAAACGGGTTGGCCCGCCAACCCTACGGGTTAGCCCGCTGTGGGTTTGGACTTGGCGGTTATGGGCTCAAAACTTCCATTTTAAAACGGTTCTAATTTTTATCAACCCAACCCGTTTAATTGTAGTTTTCGCTGAAGGAAAAAGAAGAAATGGGTCTAGTGCCTGAACGCTTTCATTCTTTTTGTCTTTTTACAAAAAAACGTCACAGGTGAAAGTTGTTCAACGAGCGCTTCACAAATTCTTCGTGTAAATTATTTGCAATATAGTATTTGGGTCCATTCTTCTCAACATGTAGTATTTTGGTAATTTTTGTAACCGTTTGTAGTATTTTACTAATAAATTAAAAGTGCATGTCAAAGATAGGAAATAGAGATCTAAAAGAATTGGCAAGGAAAAAAAATAGATCCCGGGTTGACTGAATTGATAACTATTTGTCTATATTCCTTACGGTCTATTCATAGTTCAAGCAAAAGTTTTGCATTCAAAGAAAGCATGATCACAAAATTAATGCTTGAAGAGCTAAATCCATTTCAAAGAACAAATTAAAACAGAATAATAAAACGGTGACCATGAAGGCGTTAGGCACAAATTTGTATGGTTTTGACGACGAAGCTTTTGGAGTCAGCTCAAGCCTATTCTTAATGTGTTCATAAACCGCGCTGCTCTCTGACACAGCAAAACTTATTTATTCTTGAGGAGGAATTCTTGTATACTCTCAATATAATGTATCACCTCACATGAACTCTACATAACTAAACAGCAACATCTCAGCACATTTTAATAGTTTTTTTTTTTTTATAGGAAGTAGAAGATTTGTTGAGGCCAGCATCCAATGGCATCAAAAGTAAAGGTGATTTTAGTGGAATTATGAAAACCAATAAAGGAGATTCTCTTCAAGTCTCAAACATGAATCAATACAGACATGGAAGTTATGAAAATCTTGTTTGATGATAATCAGAGTTAAGTTGATACCTGTGATCTTATGATCAGCTGTTGCAAATTTTAACTTGGGACTTTAAAAATACAGTGTATTTTGAAGTCTCAGTTTGAGGGTTTTAACAAGCTAAACAGTGTACATAGGGACTCTAGGATTAGAAAAATTTTAATACTCTTCCGGTCCTTAATATAAGACCCAATTCTTGAGTTGGTTTTGGTCCTAAATATAAGACCAATTTCTTATATTTATCAATTTTCTCTAAATGACCCTTATAGATATTCTCTCAACCATAATCAAATAGAAGATGGAGAGGGGGTATTAAGAAAGATGATTATGGTGTTTTAGGAAAAATGTGTCACTTTTCTTATAATTAACTAACTTACCTAACTTCCTTAATCTAATCAAATTAGTTAAATGGGTCTTATATAAAGGATCGAAGGAGTACTACCTGACTTTCTTAATACTAGTATGTAATTTTAACAATACGAACTACTCAATTTCCTAATATATTGAATAGTGAACCTATTTTATATTTTATTTGACATTTGTCTATTATTAATGATCTCAAATAGTGAATTTCCTAATTATCGTTATGATAATCAACACATTTTATGTTTTATATTAAATACCTAATTCAATCTTAACTCCACGGGGTATGCGGATTTCGGGAGGAAAACAACCAATGTGCGTCCGATGTTTGTGTATGGTGGAATAGGGTTATGAGGGCTATGATAGTTACTCAATTATCACCGTTATCTAAATAGTTACTCCTCTTTTTCTTTTTCCACATAGATAACTAAGATGACATGGCTATCACTCTCATAAGATTACATTAGAAGTCTTATTTTATTATTGTTTATGGCGGTGGCCACGAGGCTCCATTTTTACATTGAATATAGATATTTTGATATTGTTTTGGTAGTTTTATATTATTTTAAGTTTATATTGTCAATTCTTGAAGTTATTGACCATGATAACTACTTTCAACTTATAGGAGTATATTTTTGTGTGGTTTTCAAAATATTTTAACTCACTCACTATTTTGTCTCCATTAATTTTTCTTGCATTAAATAACCTACTTTTACAATACAGAATCAGATGTCATATTTGTCCAATATAATATTATTGACCATGACATTATCTGTAATTATCAAATATAATCAAATATTTGAGTTTCAATCCATTAACTCTTTTGTCTCCATTAATTCAATTTTTTTAAAGGAACATCCATTTATATACCTAAATATATAGCATATTTCTAAAAATATTGATAATAGATCTACCTGTAATGCAGATTTCAAAAACTTAATGATATTTTATTTTAAATTAAGTTGAAATCATGAGTTGAAATAGTAATATAATATTCAACTAATTATTTTGTGGTAATTCAATTTTTTATCTCATATAAAAGAAACCACCAATTCATACCAGTGCATTGCTGGACACTATACTAGGTCTTAAAATGGCATTTGTAGGAGGGTCACATTCACATGATATGCAACAATAAATTCTTACTGAAAGAAATTCTTCCTTGTTTTAATCGGTACTCTATCTTGTTTTTATTATAAGATTTAAATAATTAATTTTTATACAACTAAAAATCAGTTAAAATCAGTTAAAATTAGTTAAAATTAGTTAAAAGTAATATATAGCTAAGAAATATATATTTTTGTTTTTCTTTATAATAAACGATTGAAAAAGATAAAAGAGAATATATAGGAAAATAGAGAAAGCGACAAAAGGAGGAGAATAGATCAATTAAAGTCCAAATGAAAAAAAAAAAAAAAGCATTAAATGGAGACAAAGCTTTGCCTTCCTTCTTGAGACACCCAAATTCAATTCGTTTCTCCTATTTCAAACATTGACACTTACACTATGTTGGGTACGAGATTTTTGAAGGGGAGGGGAGGAAAGTTGCTCTCCTCCCCTTATTTGGTTGGTGCAATTTTTAGAAAGGGAGGGGAGTTGCTCCTCTCTCCTTGTTTGATAAAGATATTTTTAAAAAAAAGAAGGGGCTCTCCTCTTCTCTTCTTCCTTTCTAGTCTCTTCTCTAAAAGTGGGGTTTTTTAAGAGGGAGATGAGAGATAGAATTTTAAATTTCAAGATTAACCTAACTAAAATAAAGAAAACGTTAAAAAAGGATAAAAAGAGGGCACACCTAATGAGCAAAACAGAGATGCGGAGGAACAGAGGAGCACACACACAGCAATGCCAGCTTCAAAAGAATCGTCAAGAAGCAGCAAGGAAAGAAGAAACAAGAGGCGAACTGCTCACCCCACACCACCAAGGTGACAGACAGCAACAGCAGGAGGAGGAAAATGACGATGATTTCTCAAGAATAGCAAGCAAAGAAGAGGCCGACTGAGACCCCTTTTTCTAATTCTCCATAGGTTGCTTCCCTCTTTTTCTCCTCTCCCTTGAACGTAACAAGCCGAGAAAAATATCATGAAAGCATATATATACACGCACAAAAGGACAATATGGTGATTGCAATGTGTGTGTGTAAAGACAATATGGTAATTAAAATGATAAAAGTTGCTCTCATACATCGGTAGGATTCACAGCAAACCATAAAAAATGTCTGTCCTAGACTGCCAATCGACCTTATTAAAAATTTACAACACATACTCAAAATATTAAATAATTAATACTTCTGATTTTTAATATGAGAGCTAGATAACTAATTTGAAGAAATTAAGAAAATTGGTTAAGTTGGTTAATTGTAACCAATATGTGTTGACTTTCCTAAATTACTCCTCTTCTTTTTTTTTAAAACTCCTAAATCACTCTTTTTAATCATGTGTACTAGAACTATCTTTTGATAGAAATAATGTCTTATGACCAATAGGGATCTTCTAAGGGGGAAAAATAATAAATTTAAAAGACAAAGTGAATTGCGGTCTTACATTTAGGATCAAATTTAATTTCCAACTAACTCTTATATTCAGAATGGAATGTGGTATTTTACATTACTTTTAAGGCCATTACAGGATTTTTGCCATCTTTGAACATTTCTACACAACACAGGCCATTCGCATTTGCTTACAACAAAACAAGAACGGTGAATATGCATAATACATAGTTGACCTCCGGCCATTGGATCGTATATATGTTGATACTTCCTCCTAAATCCTTTTCTATAGTCCTTAATACATACAAATGACGTAAAAACCTTCTTCATAGATTATATTAAATTAATGTATCCAGGAAAATTTTAAAAATCCATCAAGCAAGCATTAATATAAAATATAAATTTTAATCTAAAACCAGAACGGTTGATCTACGTACCTTGGAAGTATGGACTCATCTTCTTCAACAACGAACTGACCTTGATGTCTAGAGCATTGAGTATAACCTCCATCTTTCTCAACTTCAGTTCGCGTAATATCAGTAGCCTGCAATATTTTCACCATTGTCTCAGGGCCCAGGATTTGCAGACCCATTGATCCATTAAGTGCTCTTTTAGCAAGTAAATCAGCGATGCCATTGCCATCTCTATGAAAGACGTGGATATCCACAAACCAATCCCCTCTAGCATCCCTTTGATTTCCATGATGAGAGCAATATCCTTGTGCATCTCAGGGACTTCAAATTTGATCAATCGAACAGCCTCGGCGGAGTCGCTTCTCAAGATAACATCTCCAGTACCAGCGTCCCACGCGCCTTTGAGACCCATCAAGCAACCCCATAGTTTTGCTGTGAGGGTATCTCCGCCACTTAATTTCAGAAGAAAAGCCTCCTTCATACAATTGCTGCCATCTTTAAGAACGCCTCCACAAGCTGCTTTGTCATCTAAATGAGAATAGGCGCCATCCACTTCCACAATAACATCATCAGGGACTATAACCTCCATTGTTGATGTCTGGATCAATCTTGTAGTTATTGATGATACTACAACCTTCGTCCCTTGTTCTTCGCCATACTTCAACATCTTCTTTACACACCGCTCGCCACCCACACTCCCTTATTTTCATCCTTGGTGACTTATTTTTCATTGCATTCTCAAAGCAAAATACCATTTGGAATCCGCTTGTAACCAAAGAGGAACAATGAATATGCAACATAAAAAGCTGAGGACTCCCAGCCGTATATAAATAAGCTTGACGCATATAATGCCAGGTTGAAAATTCATCATTAGCAAATCTGCAACCCCAACAAAGCACATCCGGCCCTTCTCTAATTTTGAGATCGTATTCTATGGCTAAGCATATGGCTATGCCCCACGATTCACGTGAACCACAATAATCAGGGGATATATTTATTATGAACGACACATTTGGACAGCACCTGAATTCTTTCTCACAAAAGTAGTTTTGATTATAAAACCATGATGGTACTTTGCTACCTGGAATTGCCAATATGCGAGAATGTGGACGGAGGGGAACAAGCTGGGAAAAAAAAAAAAAAAAACAGATTGTTTGTATCAGAAGTATGTTGATTAACACGTAAGAAATGGAAATATATATGTACAAGTCAAATAAACTATATATTTATTGTCAAAGAAATTAAGAGAAAAACAAGTACTTCTAAGAACTCACAAGTTCTGAATCCCCTCTTATAATTGCTAAGTTCATATTTAAATGGTTGCGAACCTGTAAGAAACAATTTTCCATGTTAAAGAAGTAAAATGATTGAGGTGAAAGAACAATTAAAGACAAATAAAATAAACCTGAGGTTGAAATGATTCAATGAAATCCCATAATTGATCTCCACATCCGTAATGTTTCATTAATGAAGAACCTTCAACCGCTATGACTAATAGATTTGACGGAAGTTGCGGCAAAGACCGAAGCCTTGGGCAATCAAGGAGACCAATACCTTCGAGCTTCGAAAGATTGGAAATGAGGCCAGATGGTAAGTCAATGAAATTGTTTCCACTTAGATCTAAAAATTCCAACGATGATAACATGCTGATATCATCGGGAAGTGATGCATCAAGGAGACTGCAGTTTGTTAAAAGTAAATGTTTCAATGATGACAAAGACGGCAACATCATAAAATTTGTTGACCTTGAAGGCCTTTGGAGAAGGGGTACACAACTCCATGATGATGAGGATTGCCCTTCACCATTGTAGTCACTAAATGATAACCCTTTTATAGCAATTCCACTCAAATGAAGCTCTTCCAAAGCTTCATTTTCATACAAATTCTTTGGCAGCCTTGAAACCTTTGAGCAGTGAGAAATTTTGATAATTTTCAGAGCTTTCAACTTACAAACACTACATGGAAGACAGACCAGTTCCTTGCACTTTGTCAAATTTAATTCAACGAGACCAATCAATTTACCTAGTGATTGAGGTAGTTTGATTATAGCAGTCTTCTCTAAATCAAGCTTAGATAGACGCGTCATATCTTTTCCAAACTCAGGAAGTTTTCTAACTTTTGAACAACCCGATAGAATAATAGTCTCCAAGCCATTGATCTCAAATTTTTATGGAAGGGTTTTAACTTTTTTGCAATCTTTCAAGTCAACAGTGACAAGATTCTTATGTTGCCCAAGAGACTGGTGAATTTCAACTAAGTTAGAACACCCTTCAAGAATCAATTTTTCAAGATGAGGAATTCTATCAAAATTTGGGGTTTCAATGAGGTATTCTGAATGAGATAGATCAAGGGACTTCAAGCATGGGAGAGACTAACAATAGAAAAAGAGGAAACAATAAGCCCTCAAAACCAAACACTAATTATAATTATAATTTATTAAATTATGGACAGAGAATTTAAATGAAAGGATTGTAATTACCTGTGTTCCTCTCCAAAGTCTTTTTAATTTGCTATGTTGCATTTTTAGTACCACAAGTTCATAGAGTTGAGGCTGATTAGGCAAATAAAACAAAGGATACCTCACCCATTCTATGACTTTCAAGTCACTGGAAAGGGACTTGAGCCCGTATGGAAGATTTAATTGACAATGTGAAACATGTGAATGACTTGAAATGATAAGTAACCTAAGATTACTCATCTTTGAGAAGGATTCAGGATCCCAAAATGCATCACATGACTTTTCCAATGTTAGCGCTATTCCTCGGATTGCTTCTGTCCCCTGTAAAACAACAAGCCACGGTCAAAATGTATGTAAAAGTTATGGAATATATTGATATTAAAAAGCACATAAACACAAGAACGTTGGAATAATGTCACCTTATTTCCTTTTAGTACGTGATTGGCATCCTCCAAAGACAATATCCGGGAACGCTTGCCGGCATCATAAGGTGATTCTTGATAGACAATATATTTACACATATCTCGGAGAATTTCATGCACCCACAAATGCCCTTCATAACTAATTATTAGTGATTTCTTAATGAGAACATTTATCGCAGTTCCTGCGCGAAGATCCTTATCCAAAGTTTCTAAAATTTGTATGACATGATCTTTGTCCATCCCATTGAAAAAGCAAGCAATATCCAAGAATATGGTTTTCTGCTGATCGTCCAGTCCATCAAAACTCACTTGAAGTATCTTCAAAATGTCCTTTGGAGGAATTTGCTTGAGCTTAGCTAGTTCATCCTTCCATTCCACTATTGGTCTTTTGCAAAGAGATGAACCTAACACTGTGAGTACTAAAGGAAGGCCTCCAGCATACTTAATGACGCTTCGAGCAAGTTTCAAATAATCTTCATTAGGATGCTCTTCTTTAAAAGCTTTTTCAAGGAAAAGATCAAGAGACTCTTTATCACTCAATAATTTGAATTCATACACAACAGATACACTGTGTGATGATAACAAATGCTTATCCCTAGTTGTTATTATTATTATGCTCCCTTCGCTGAACCATCCTTTCTTTGGCACCAAATTTTCAAGTTGCCTAATATCACTCACATCGTCAAGGACAAGTAGAATTTTTCTGTCAGTCAACTTGCTTTTTATTAACTCCATTCCTTCATAAAAGTCAGCTACTTCCATACTCTTTCTATCTAGAGAAGAAAGAAGTTTTCTTGGCAATGAAATCAAGCCTTCTTTTTCCCATGCCTCTCTAATATTATCAAGGAAGCAGTGAATCTCAAAGTTTTTGCGCTCTCGCTCCCGCTTATAAAGGGCTCTAGCAAGAGTTGTTTTGCCTACGCCTCCTGTGCCCCATATTCCTAGAAACTCAACTCCTTTTGATTCCCTTGCTACCATTGACTTCAATTCATCTAATTTTGGCTCAATTCCAATTAATTTGCCATGACCAGATGCTGATTTATCAAGTAACTTTGACTCCATTTCTTCAGCAATGTTTTCAATGAATTCGCTTTCATACCTGTATATGAAAATAAAATTATAAAGTGATTTTTTTTTTGGACATGAAAATAGCGTGATGGTTTTAAGTCAATTGAATTTTATAGTTCTTGCATAAGCAATAAAAAAAAATACTTAAAATGAGATGTAAAGAAAAACATGACCACAAATGTAGCAATCTTAAGTTTTCCGTGAACCTTGGTTTGACTTAGTGAGGATAGGAGATAATTTTTTGCAGATATACACGATTATGCGTGTGTGTGTCCATACACTTTACTAGAACTCCTAGATATTGAAGTCACTTAATTAATACATTATAGCTAGGTTGAGTTTCCCTTTTTTGGCAATACATTTTATTATTTGAATAGTTTTTCTTAATTTTATTCAAGCAACATTTCACAAGAGTTAAAATCTAATGCTCTACGGTAACGTCTTCAACTATCAAAAAATAATAACAACTATTAATTATTCATTAATAAACAATGAAATTTCAAAATTTAGATAAATTATAAATTATTAATACTAAGTTTTTAATTGTTGAATTACATAATAATTATTATTATGTAATTTTACTAATATATATTCAAGAAAATGACCATTTCAGGATTCTACTATTAATTGAATTCAGTTGGAAAACCTAGATCATCTACAACCTAGTGCTACAAGTCTATTTTACCAACAACTAAAAATACAAGTCTATAATGAAATAAAATGGGTGAAATACTAAGGAAAAAATAATTTAGCAGTCCTTATAGTTTTATCTGATTTTGAATCAGGTCTTTCTATTTTTTTTCTTTTTATGGAATTTTTATACTTCTTTGATCCTATTCATAAAGTACTTCCAATATATTTCACACAGACCAAGAAAAATCTTAAACTTCATTAACTCTCATTTAAAATTAAAAAACTTTCTAACTTTATCCCTATTTAATATGTATTATACCTCATGTAAATAAAGTCAACACAATAATTAACAAAGAGTAAAATTGAATATATATACAAAAAATTTTTCTTAATGTCCTGTAAACAAAACCAAAAAATATTTTCTTTGGACTGGTAGGGTAATTTGTTACATTAAATGAACAAGTTCTGTTAAAAATGCTCCCAAGGCGGTTAATGCTGTGGTGACATGGCATTGAAAAGGCTGCATGGACTTGCTTTCTCTTCTTCCTAGTAAAAGCTTGCGGCTCTCTCTCTCTCTCGCTCGCGCATCCCTCAAGGGCCAACCACACCAGTCTCCCGTCGACAAAGGGTAAGAAAGGCCTAAATTGTATTCACCTCTCCATTAGCACCAACGCACTGCTTCTATGCCGTTGGGGATGTATATGTAAACACATTCATACATCTCAATGATATTAAAGGCATTTTAACCGCGTAGATATGAAGCCGAGCAGTAGAACGTCAAATATGGAGATGTTTTCAACTTTTTCAATGAGCTGACTCCCAGTGTGTGAATGTAGTTTAAGAAGGAGCTTTTCTGCTCCTTATCGACTGGTGTGGTTGGCCCTGGATTAATGAGAGAGAGAGCCGCAAGGCACAAGCTTTTACGTGGAACGAAGAGAAAGAAAAGCTCATTATTGGCATTGGAAAGAAAGAGAAAGCAAGCCTTTTTAATGTCATGTCACGCTACACTAATAGCGGTGAGAGTATTTTTGATGGAAAGACTTGCTCATTTAATATAATAAATTATAAAGATTTCAAAAAAAGAAAAAAAAAATTAGGACCTAACTCAAAATTAGGTAAAATTATAAGAACCATCACATTAGTCTCCCCGATTACTAATCACCCCTTCTGTTTTATCTTAATTAAAGAAATATCGCATATTTTTTTAAAAACATACCTAAGCCTCGCTTCAAATTGCAATGCATCTTACACAAATCTCTCTTCTATATTTGAGATTTTATTTCATCTATTTAATAGTTAGTTGACGGTTAAGTTTAACTTCTAAGCCTTTGCTTTGACCAAAATATCTTTATTTAGCATAAAAATTATTTAAACATTTATATTTGTCAAAAACATAATTTTTTATAATGGGAAATAATTCTACTGCATATGTTTTCAAACATTCTAATATGTCATCAGATTAGTTAATTATTAATTTTGACTATTTAATGAAATTGTATAATTATATTTTTTTATTACATGTATTGATATATATTTATTTAGATTTTTTTAAATGTCTAAGATCATATTTCAAAAGCTTATTTTATTCATAATACATATAATAAATAATTTGAGTTTAAGAGATTATATTAATAACTTAAATTTGTAATTTAAAATTTCTAAACTATTTTTGTGATAAATATTTATAAACACATTTTTTTGGAGTGAATTTATAAAAACATTTAGTGAAGTGTATATTTATTAAAGGAATTATTGAAATTCTTAATAAACTTTTTAATATCCATAATAATTAAATTACTTAAGCTTTTATCCCAATCTGATAAAAACATTAGAAAAATATTTATTTGCAAGAGATAATTAAGAGAAAGAAAGAGAAAACATTTAAATTCTTCAAAATAATTTTATCCAAAATTAGGAATTTAGTATGATGAAGGATAAATTAGTAAATAAATATTATTTTAGTACAAATGTTAATTAAAAATATCTTTTCATATTATTCTTTACAAAATTAACCATTTAAGTTAAAGTGTATGTTTTCAAAATAGGTAAAAAAGCAAATGTAATCAAGGTAAAATGGATTAAATTATTTTAGTTTTAAGCAAATAGCATTTATAATATTTGTCAGTTAAAGCTTCAAGCAGTCCACTTTCACCCCCTACCCATTTTAGGGAGGGACCTACTCACTCGCCCGGGAATAGATCCCACAATCTCCTCAATAAGAGAAGATGTGGGTTGCCATAGGAAAAAACCTCGATGAAACAATAATATACAGTACACTTGAATATCTACGCCCTTATTTTTCAACCAAAAAAGAGATGATAATTATTGAGAAAAGTGAAAATTACCGATCTTTGGAGTCCCAGCCAGATAAAGCAGCAACTTTTTCTAAAGCATCTCTCCACTTTTGCACCTTTATTTTGTCTTCGGCAAATCTTTCTTCATGCCTTATGAAGGCATCTGCAAAACTTCCCTTTTGTTTCCTAACATCAAAAGGATCTACACCGTAAAATATCGGAAATACTTGAAGACTTGTTTTTTCCTTTGACTGCAGGATCTTTTGAAACTCATCCAAACACCAAGTTGAAGAAGCATAATTTGGGGAGAGCACAATAATTGCAGATTGAGATTCTTCAATTGCTTGTACTAAACTTGGATTAATAGATTCTCCCCTTTCAAGTTATTCCTCATCCCAAAAAGTTCTTAATCCTTTGCGTTTTAAAGCAGCATGTAAATGATCAATAAAATTTTTCCGAGTATCTTTCCCTCGAAAACTCAAAAACACATGATACTTCCATCTCTTAGTTGAACCAGAAGAGCTTGAAGAACAGCCAACTCCGTCAACATCACACGCCATCGCAAGGGTTTGGAATCTGAACCCAAACAAAAGTAAAAGCACAAAAACAGAAAGAATAATACATATATAATAGGAGCTTTAACAAACAGTGCAGCAATCAGTCCAATGCCAAGCCTTGAGATAGGCATTGGCCATATTAAAACAAATAAAGTGAAAATTCAACATCACAAAATGCTGGAAGATCTATAACAGAAACAATCCATTTCACTGAAGAAAAAAATATATAATGGAAACATCAACAGACCAGGTTCTTCTTACCGCAAGATTCATTCACTCTTCACGCATAATTTCACAGATCTAAAACGGTCATTTGGTGATCATAAATGTAGAAAGGAGAAAGGGAGAAAGTAGAAACCTGAAAGAGGAAATAATATCGAAAGATTTGTTCGATTCCAACCGGCCTGATATAAGATGAAGCCCAGCAGCCTGGTACAAGTTTTATAGAATGAAAAATGGAGAAACAGCGAGAAGGAAAGTGGTGGGAATGAGCTCAAGTCTTTGTCCTCTCTTCAGTCTTTGGGAACTCACATTTGAAACCGTGTTACGGACGGGACTACACTGTTCCATTTTGCTAAAGGACGAACCATGTGACCCTGTGTCAGTGCTTTAATGGGTTTTCTTTTTTACTTTTTTTGTCATAAGACTTAATAGGAGCAAGGGAAAACCAGAGCATCCCTCTCTTAATTTCCAGCATATTCCCTGGATTCACGTTCAAAGATGGAGGAACCTATCATAAATTTCAAGGCGGAGTTCAATTATAAAAGACTAGGGGGTGTTTGGCAAAACCAAAACGTAGATTTCAGAATCACTTTTCCGTAAAATGAGATAACCTCCTCCGCATATTTACTTCGTAATCCATAAAAACACTTCTGAAACCATGGTTTGGTTTCTATCCAAACACATTAGGTGAGATGACTCCAAAGTGTGGGACTCATAACAATTTTTTTTTGAGAGTTTAATTCTTAAAAAAACTAACTAACAAGAGTTGGTCAATTTGATAAGGAATCGACTCATAACTGACAAGATCATGAGTTCGAATCTCACTGCTGATATAAAGACCTTGTTGGTGAGTAATTTGTAAGTAACTCTGTAAACACTCTGAGTTTAAAGGCATGTATTAACCCTAATGAACCCTCAGGATTCAACTCACCTAAACTTTTTTGTATTAACAAAAATTCAAAAAAAAAAACAAGTTACTCCCTCGAGTCCTTATTATAAGTTTCAAATAATTGATTTACATATAGCAAAAAGTTAATTAAAATTAGTTAAAATCAATAAATAAGTTAAAAATATACTTTTGTTTTCAAATATGTCTCTGTAATAAATGAAAAAATGGACGAATACGAGAAAATGTAATGAGAGAGAATGACAAAGGAGGGATAATAAATTAAGAGCAAAATTGAAAAAAAAAATACATTAAATG